TACTACCACATCTCTGTTAAGACAGACAAACTGACGATCAAGAATCGCTACCCTTTACTATGTATTGACAATCTGTTCAGTCAAATTCAAAGGAACCTACTTGCTAGAAGCTATGGATAGCTCAATCTTGTTGAATGAAGTGACGCATTGTTATGACACGATTAGTGACTTAAACATCGATATAGTCTGAATAAATATCTGTTGTCAACTCGTCAAGAATCCTAACAAAGGAATTTCTATTATTGTAGCATGAGTCAAGAAACCGCTCACGATCAAAGTAACCAAGCGCCAAGCGATGGGCACGAAAATGTTCATATTGAAGTATCTAGTTTCACACCTCCTATTCAAAGTGAACAAGTGAACTCAAAACATTTTCCCCAAAATGATCAAAATATTGGAGATCAACCTGACGCTATGCTACCTACCTTAATGGTAAACTTCTTACAACAAATGACTAATGCCTGTTAGACAAGGCGTGCAACTCTAGAGGGGGGGGGTGAATAGAGTTGTTGAGAATGTTTACCGATTTTCGCAGGATTAAATAAGATAAATGAAAGTGCAGCGGAAATAAAATAGAGAAGGCAAAGAACACACCGATGTATACTGGTTCACTACCTCGTGGCTAGTCCAGCTCCCCGAGAGACTCTCTCGAAGCTACCACTACTTCCGTTAAGCTTACGGGTGCTTAACAAACCGTTTACAACTCGAGAATTTGAATCCCACAAGCCTCGACACAACCGCTCGTAGATATGCACTCTACAAGACTTCACAACCAAGACTTAAATCACATAAGCCTTGAACAACAAGAAGAACAATCTTCTTCAACCTCTCAACAATAGCTCTCAAAAGAGTAGATAAGAGAAAAGATTAAGGCTCTAATGGATGACAAGAAACCTCTCTTAAAAACAAATGTTTTCTCTCAAAATAATATAAATTTGAGGAAGGATTGATGGAGGATTAACACCTCAAGAATGGGGAGTATTGGAGTGTTTCTTGTTGTATGAAATGACCAAGGAAGGATGCTTAAATAGGAGGTGAAGAAATATATCCGTTGGTCCAAGAAAAGAAGCTGTGCAGAAAAGATGCAAGATAATAATCGATTAATGCATCACCAATAATCGATTAATGCATCATCAGCAACGATCAATGCAGCTGAAGGAAAATCGATTAAATTAAAGGGATTAATCGATTAGAAGGGTCTGTGTGAACTAATCGATTAAAGGGAAAGGAAAAATCGATTAGACACAAGACCTAAGCAATCCAACGCAACAAGAAGCTAATCGATTAAACAAGGAGGAAAAATCGATTCATTAAATGTGCTGAACAATAATCGATTAAATAAAGAAGTATAATCGATTAAAAGAAGAAATCATTCGCAAACACAAAGGGCCCAAGCCAGTTGCGATGGAGAGCAGAATTGGCGTAACACTCGTTGTTTGAGACAACGGGAATCAGAGAACGCTCCTCCTCTCTTATTCAATGAATTTGAATAAGGGAGTAAAAGTGAGTACAAAAATTATTTTGTGTGTCAAACGATGTACACAAAAAAANTCTTGATTAAAAAGGGGGTAGGTCAACTTTCTTACAAGTTGATCTTGCAAGTCCTATTGTTCGGATCTTGCAGTTGTTGAAGAAGCGTGACCTTCGAAGGAACAACAAAGCCAGCACGAGTGCAGTAGCAACATTGGTCTTGCGAAGATATACCGTGCAGAAATTCACACAAGTGTAATTGTTGGTTCATTATTCAACAACCAACTACATAGTGGATTTTGAGGACGTAGAAGGATTACCCCACCTTCGAACCTCGTTAAAGTTTGCGTGTCTCTCTCTTTTATCTTTACTCTAACTTGCAATTACATTAACTGTGAAAACTAACCCATCCATAGTGATTACTGCTCACTCTACCCACCAAATTCCACACACAATCTAAAGTTCTCAAGAACTCTAGATTAACACTTATTTTCACGTTTTTCAAAAGAAACGAAAAAGATTTTAAATTTGTAACAAAGTCTATTCACCCCCCCTCTACACTTTGTATCTCACCACTTTGGGACCACCAATTACAACCATAGTTACATATGAAAATGACCTCGCATGAAAGAAAAAAAATTTCTTGAGCAAATAACGAAAAATCTATGGGTTTTTTTCCAAATGCAACGAAGTATAAACCAACTACATTAAGAGATAAAATGTTAAAAAACCATAACATTCATGACTACAAAAAACTTAAATACACTAATTTTACTAATTTGAACAAACTAAGAACACAATATCAAACTACGATTGCACTGAGTTTGACAATGCAGTAGGTGTCCCAAAAAGCTCGGCCTTTAAAAATTAAAGCATACAAAAAGATTAACACATATAGTAATAAATTTCAAAAATAACATTTAATATTAAAAAAAATGTAATCACTCCCCTTTGATGCAATCTCTTTGGCCAAGTGCTTGGAGCATCCACTACAAAATGTGTAGTCTTCAAGCACGCCTTTCAAGTGCGTCACGTGCCCGACCACCCAACTTGTTCTTCAACACCGAAGAGGGAATCGTCTTTGGAAGGTTGATCATAACTCCACGAAAAATACGCAAATTCATCTTGTTTGCTCATTTTCTTGAGCTTCGGGCACTCAAATTTACGGTGGCCAAGCTTTCCGCACTTATGACACCTTGGGGTGTTTTTCTTCTTGCTCTTGTTTAGCTCATGTTTCAAAAACTCGTTAAAACATTCAACTAAAATATCACAAGAAGTGCTAGAATAATTATCACTATCACTATCCGAATCCGAATCATCAATCTCTACTTTTTGAGAAGAAGATGCTTTAAAAGAGTATGAGAAAGATGATTTGTTTCGTAAGTGATAAGGTTACCTCGAAGACCGTCGTATGTGATTACGTTGTAATCCCGACCTTCGTAAATGGAGTTTACCTTTGACTCCCATTCCTTGGTAAGACTTCGCAGGATTTTCCTCACTAACTCCTTGTCGGTGAGCGTCTTTCCAAGCATATCAAGGTCGTTGACGATGTTTGAAAATCTTCCAAACATGTCCTCCACAAGTTCGTTCTCTTTCATAGCAAATAACTCATATTCATGGGTTAGTAAATCAATTTTTGATTCACGAACTTGAGGCGTACCTTCGTATGTGATCATGAGCTTGTTCCACATTTGGTTAGCGGTTTGGCAACGAGATATCTTTTGATAATCGTTGGCGTTGACCGCACAATACAAGAAGTTGATGGCGGTGGCATTCAATTGAGCCTTCTTGAAGTCGGCTTCATCGTATTCATCCTCGTCCTTTGGGATGAGTGTATCGCCTACCTTCTTCATCGGCAAGCTATCTCCATTCTTGATAGCAAGCCAAATTTTGAAGTCGTTTGATTGAACAAAAATCCTCATTCGCTCCTTCCAATATGAGTAATTTGTTCCATCAAAAAATGGCGGCCTTACGGTGGATTGCCCTTC